CTGACATTGATTGTAAAAAATAGTCTCCCCAAAAATGTCACCTTAAGAACTAAGGTGTGCCCTCACCCAGGTCATGGTATTTTCAATTGCCTCACATGCTTGAGAAAGCTGGACAGTGAATAAGGAAGACCAAAGAAGAATTGATGCCTTTGAATTATGGTGTTGGTGAAGAGTACTGAACATACCATAGACTCTGGAAGACTGAATAAATCTGTCTTGGAAGAATTACAGTCAGAACGCTTCTTAAGAAACAAGGATGGTGAGACTTTGTCTCATACTTTGGACATGTTATCAGGTGGGACCTGTCACTGGAGAAGGACATCATGCTTTTCAAAGTAGAAGTTGTGTGAAAAAGAGGAAGGCTCTCAACCAGATAGATTGACACAGCGGCTGCAACAGTGGGCTCAAACGTAGCAACAATTGAGATCACGGTGCAGGACAGGCAGCGTTACATGTTGCATGTTGCTGTTCATAGGATAGCTATGGATCAGAACCGACTCAACAGCACCTAAAAACAGCAACAAAATTTCTCCAATTGCGAAGTATCTTCCAGGAAAGCAATTTTACCATCTTGATAGCACTTAGGAACTTATACACATGTGTCAAAATCAGTGTCCCATTGGGCTTCTTTATTTTAGGAGCGTTTATTTTCTCGTTTGCCATGCAGACAACTCAGATAACTCAAAAGAACCCCAAAGTGACCACATATTTCGCAGACTGTCCTTGGTAAGGTTTTGCCACACAACTATGTATGAGAAGGTAGCAGAACAATTGTGCTTGTCTATAGATAGGGCTAGAGTCCCAGAACAGAACTCCATACTGCTCCTGGATTGGCATTTCCCATTTTCAAAAAGGTTTGAGTTTTTTCAAAGTTTAGAATTCTCAGATTTAACATATCCTAATGGAGGATGCCACATGGTTTGGCCGGTGTACTGCTTAAACCAAACTCTGCCTGACAGCTGTGGAGGCTTTTATTTATTTATTTATTTTATGTGGCCAGCAAGCAGCCTATGCTTCTTGGCTGCCCTCTGAACTGCTTTGTCCCTTCATAGGAGTCTTTATCCACTCTATGCTGGTGACTGTCCTGATGGCTCTTAAACAGCTGCATGTGCTTGTATTGTTTATTTGTCTGATTGTTTTGCTGCTGATGGAGCCTGAGATTCCACAAACTTAAAAACTTCTGGGACAGTGATTTGCACAAACCCAGAACTTCTACTGCTGCCACTAACAATGGTCAGCTCTTGCAAGAACAAAATTAAACCAAATCCTTTAATAAATCTTGAAAAGCTCTATACAAGGAAGCAGAGCTTGAAATTCAAGAGGTTTACCTTAAGACAACTCTTGAGTCCATGGAAATAGATTAGCTCAAAGGGCCCATGCATGTACTGAAACTCTAAGACCTCAATTTCTTGGGATCACAGAATATAATGCACCTTTGAATATCACAATTCTGATACCAAGAAATGTCAAAGAACAAACTGGAGTCTCTTAAAACTCAACATAATGAGTTTTATTGAAGGAATAAAAGCTGTTCGAATCAAGAAAAATACAGATTGCATGAAATTAACCAAGTGCTTCAGTGAATGGAATTTTTCATAAGGTTTAAACAGAAAATTCAAGAACTTACAAAGAAAAAATCTGATTGATTGACATTTATAAACTCATGCTTCAGAGGTCACAAGACAGTTATGGGACTCCTTGAGCATTGTTCTGTTAACCATAAAGTTTGAATTAGTTTAATATCTCATAGTATTTGGATATCTTGGTGCCAGCCTGGGTAAGCATTCTTCCTGAGAACCAGTTGTGCAAGGAAGGGAGTGGGCAGAAAGTTTCCTGGAACAATCGTTATCTTAACTGCATTACTGACCCCCATCCTTATTTGCTAAGGGCAGTTAAAGTTTTTCAAAAGTCTAGCTATTGTACAAGAAGCAGAAGTAAGGCTAAAGAGGAAAATGGAGTCTACTGTACACCCAGATCAGCAGTTTAGTTATGCCAAATGCCTCAAGTTCTGGGGTTTGCTTACACAGTTTCATGGGTCATCTCAAATCCTTATTTGGCTTTATAGTGTACATAAACAAATAATAATGATACCCTATTCATTGTGACTTTACTCTGTAAACACCATTTTAGGACATATTTTTTGAACACTGCACCAAAATGCTTCGTTATAATCAGATATTACTTGGAAATTGTCTTATCACCTAATGCTGCTGTAACATAAAATACCACAAGTAGGATCCCTTAAAGAACAGGAATTTATTGTCTGCTTTGGAATCTAGGATTCTGAATTCAGGTTGTCAGCAGGGATAGTCTCTCTCTAGTCTCTCTCTCTCTTTCTTCCTCTCTTCCTCTTTCTCCCTTTTTGTCTTTCTCTCTTTTTCTCTCTTTCTCTGTGTGTATGTATGTTTCTCTCTGTCTCTCTATATGTGTCTCGTTCAGTTCTAGGGGAAGATATCTTTCATCTTCTGTAACTCCAGATGTTTCTTAGCTGCTTGGAAGTATATATTCCCATATCCTCTGTCTTCCCCCAGTATGTCTGTCTCTGTGTGTCTGTGTTCCCTTTTATAAGACACCACTTACAAGGGATTAGGTTTCAGTATATGCTGGTATAAAACCTCATTAACATGAAAAAAACATAATAAAAGAAAAACCTGCTATTCCCAAACAAGGTATAGGAATTTGAACATATCTTTTTGGTGGACATAATTCAATCCATAGCAGGAATAAAATGTTTTTATTTTCATATCTTAATTAGTTAATAATTCTCATGTCTCAATCAGTAAGGATACAAGACTCCTCTCAGACTTTTGGGTGAAGTCAAATACCTTTAGCATAGCTACAAATCCCTCTTGGCCATCCTTCACTGATGTGTCCTTCTCATTCCCTGCCACCTTCTTTGAGGTATTCCAAGTATACCAAACTCTTCAGAAGTCTTCAGTGTCAGGCCAGGTCTATGTATCTTTGCAAATGCTGTTTCCTCTGCCTGGCCTGCTTCTTCATTTGAATAACTTTCACTCATTCTCTTAAGACCCATTTCAAGTATGAACTTCTGGGCAAAGCCATTTCAAAAAGTTGAACCATCCAAAAATGCCACTTTTGAGATGCAGAAAATATCTCATATTGGCAATAGTGTTAATGTTTTTGTTACCAGTGTTATGAATTTGAACTCTACATTATTGATAATATACCACTTGCTGAATTGTAACTATGTGCTAAATTTTTTACAGTCACCCTTTCATTGAATTCCAACATTAGCCTGAAACGTGGGTGTAAATACTTCCACTTATTAGACAAGTATTCCAAAACTTAGAAAGGTCCTTTCCAAGAGAAAGTAAATAATTATTAAACAGCAGAACTAAGATTTGATTTTATGTCCATTTGACTCCAAAGGCAAAGGTTATATCATTCTCCTTCCTTTGTCTCATCCATTGTCCTGTCTACAGTGCCTCATACCTACCTGGTAAAGAGCTGAAACACGTATGATAATTCCTCATCTGCCAGGAACCTGCCCATATGAATTTGAAGGCTGATTTTATTCATGATCCCCTGAACCCTAATTTCTGACACTTTCTGGTAGCTCAGTATTTTGACATTGGATTTATCTTGATGAATGTTACTGCTTCCCTGGAATTTAGAAAGATGAATTCTGTTGGTAAAAACTAAGAATATGAACTTCCTTTAAAATCTTAATCCTGAAATTACTGTTTATTTGCTTTAAGTCACTGTTTTGATCCATTGTCTGCCAGAAACTCCTTATTGCTGGTGGCGTAATTATCTAGGAAGATTGGTTCTTTAGAACATAAAAAGTACTTGTGGTTGTTGAAGCATGGGTGCCAGGTCTTGGTGTAATGCAAACAGAGGGCACAGGGCATCTGGGTTCATTTCCTGAACATCCCTTTTTTCATTGACATAGAACTTTTCTTGTGTTCCTATTCACAATGGTTCTCTCTTACTAAAGACTAAGAATCTGTTGGCCAGTAAACACAGCTGCTGTAGTGCTTCTGAATTTGCCTTACATTCCTTCTCGATTCACATTTTGATTCTCTAGTTTTCACCAGAATTTCTAGTATCAAAGTCCATAGCAATAGTTCTCAAACTTTAGTGTACATAGGAATCACCTGGTGGGCTTATTGGAACACAGATTGCTGGGCCCTACTTAGAATCTTTCTGAGATGGTCTCAGTCCATCTGGGCTGAGACCCCGTTGTTGTTGGCTTGTGTGCCATCCAGTGGAGTTCTACTCATAGTGACCTTATGAGCCAGGGTAGAACTGCCCCACAGTTTCCTAGGCTGTATTCTTTATGGGAGCAGATCGGCAGTCTTCTCTCACTGACATTTTGACCTTTCTGTTAGCAGCTGAGCATTTAATCACTGCACCACCAGGGCTCCTTCGGGATAAGACCCTAGATTCTGTAATTCAGACAAGCCTCCAGGTAATGTTGATCCTGCAGGTCAAGGACTACACTTTGAGTAGGTCAAAGTACTGTTGAAGTCCTGGTTAATAGGACACCAAATGAGGTTGGATATAAAAGCAAAAAGCCTCGGTGATTTTCAGACTAAACATCTGAAAGCTGAACTGTACAGACCAAAAAAAAAAAAAAATGTCAATGACATTTACAAAATTTACCTCCTGATTTTTGATCTTATACTAAATAATGACAATGATTCTTCTTGTAGAGAGGGAGACCAGTTGGCTGTAAACTTCAGCTTTTCTTCCAGATCCTGAGGAAACTTTCTTTTCTGTGACCTTCAGGACATCAGTGTGTTTTTTTTTTCCTTAAACATGCCCTTCAGGATGATGCTGTATAAGATTGATCAGTCTTTCAATATAAAAACTACAATGAAGACTTTCCATAACATAATAAGAAATGTGGTCATAAGATTCAGAATGCAAAAGGGTAATTTCTCATTTTTCCTCATTTAGAAGCTAAAAGATATCTGCATTTTTATTAGATACAAAATGTTGTGAATCATGTAGATGAACACATTTCTTCTTAACAGGAATCCTTTGTGTTTGAACCCAACTGCCTCTTCAAAGTGGATGAATTTGGCTTCTTTCTGACCTGGAAAAGTGAAGGCAAGGTATGGCATAGAAACAGCAAGTCAGTTTTATCTGCAATTTGGTTTAAGCTGCTTCATTTCTCAACATTGACTCTCTCTTAAGGGCATGGACCCTATGCTCATTTATTAAATCGTTCAAGATTTTTAAGCTGTGCCTTCATATGCCAGGCATTGGGGATCCAGTGGTGATCAAGAACATCATCCTAGCCCTCAAGAGATTTCAGTCTAGGAGCAAAGTCAAGCATCCAAAAAAAAGGGGGGGGGAGGTTACAAGTCATTGAATGTTGTGAAAGAAAAGTGTAGGCAGTAGGCAGATACAAGAGCATAAAACCAGTATGTCTGACTTGATGGGGGTGAAGGTTTCTAGAAAAAGGTTTTGTTCAAGCTGAAATCTAAAGGTGAATTAAAAGTATGTTCATTTTGTTATATCCCAGAGCTTATCTCAATGCATGACACAAGATACACAATGAATATTGGAATTGAATTTAAGAAAAGTAGGATTATAAGCATATACATGTATTTCAGCATTATCCCCACTTAATATTTAATGTACACACATATACTTAATTATATACAGACATGATTAATGATATTGTATACAAAAGTAACATTTTAAAAATAATTTTTAAGAATTATAATCATATATATATACATATTTACATGGAATATTTGGGATTTTTCTGATAGCTGGACATTATTGTCATTTGTTTTTCACTCCTCTTCTGCTTTACCCTAATCAGCACTGCCTTCATCACTTCAAACCTTCGTTAAGCACCTTGTCTCTGCCACACACAGGTCTGGCAGAATTGAAGCTTACTTGCCATGTTGCATTCTCTCTTTTCAGGAAGGACAAGTACTAGAATGCTCCCTCATCAACAGTATTCGGTTGGGAGCCATACCCAAGGTACTTGTGATTGATGTTCATTCACAGTTCTAAATACAGATGTACTTTGGTTGAAAATGGCCCTCAGAAATTATTTTATCTGTTACTTCCCCAAAATAATTAGCTGTGAGCTAAGACAGATACAGTTTATAAATCCTCTCATCTATAACTGTTGAAGTCCTGGTTAATAGGACACCAAATGAGTCAACTGGGTGACTTGAATTGTATTATTTTAACGATATTAAAAATGTTATGAATCTTTGAAAACAACGTCTCTTGGGTGTGACCAGCATCAAAGAAGAACTCCCTTAACTGGGAAAATGTGGCAGGTCCTTGTTTTTGAACAGTGATGCCTGGTCTGTGGTCACTGTGGAAATGTAAATGGCTTGGGTAGCTCCATGTTCCTGCACCAGTGCATGCAGACCTTGGCTCACCTTGAACGCTCACTTTCCCTCTGAGGAAAAAAAAAAAAAGTGACAACATAAATCAGCCTTCTTCACAGTGATTGATTTGTTTGAATAAGAAGCTGTTTGCATAGTGTTGCTAGGAATTTAAAAGACATTTCTTTTTAGAATATTCTGGCACAGTGTTTATTCCCTTTTCCATGATACACTTGCAGGTTTTTAGATGTTCAAAACAAAACTATATTCCTCACTTTGTTTTAAAAAAAAAGCTATCATCTTTTATATTAAGTTAACTTCCTGATATAACTATATAATTGTATGTTGGCATTTTGTCCTGAGTTCTTTTGGAGAACAAAGGGACTATTTTATTTCCTAATGAGGGTAAATTTACATAGTCTTCATTCCACTGAAGGATGCCTTGGCTTCCAGAGATGAAAATATTCACTCTTTGTAATCCAGACTACTTGAAAGATGTAATCTCACTTTTGAGAGTAATGTCTGATTGCTGGTAGCAGTAATGCCATGTTTGTCCCAATTATCTGTGTGAAACCTGGGCAACTGTCCTCTGCAGTAGGAGACCTCTTACATGTCTGTGAACACAGTCACTTTCCATCCTGTTATCATAATCCAGGACCTCAAAGAGCTAGAGCCAACAATTTAAGGAAAGACCTTCACACCTAATTTTCTAAATCAATATTATACCTTTCTTATTAAAACAATGTTAAGTAATATGTAGTGTTCTAGTTTTCACCTCTACAGGTTTTAGAATCATGCTAGATATCTGGGTATCTTCAATAAAAAGAAAATATTTACCCCATACATATTAACATATCAAACTATGGTTTCTTTTTTTTTTTACCACGTTTCTCCTGTGCTGTGTGGTCTAACATCTCTTTCCTATATTGTGAATTTCTATATAGGACCTCAAAATCCTGGCTGCTCTTGAAGCTGTTGGAAAATCAGAAAATGATCTGGAAGGACGGATAGTGTGTGTCTGCAGTGGTACAGATCTGGTCAACATCAGTTTCACTTACATGGTGGCTGAAAATCCAGAAGTAACCAAGGTAGTCTCAGTTTAACAACCAACCTCCCTCCTTTCCTCCCACTATATACATAATAATTAAATTATAAAAATTTTAAGTATATACTAAAATTATATTATGTGTAAAAAGTTACACATACACCATGTTGTATGCATAATATAATTTTAATATAAACTTTAAAATTTTTGTAATTAAACTTATGTATATATATATATGATATATGAGTTAACTTTTTATGCATAAAGTAATCTTAATAGGCTTTAAATTTTTATAATAATTTAAGTTAAACATTTTTTTAAAAAAAACTTCCATTGCTTTGCTAGAATATTTGTTTAAAAAATACAACAAGCACAAGACAATAAGAACCTAAATACCAACTGTGATGCAGTTTTTCCTAAACTAGTCAGCACTTCTTAAACTTGAATGTGCACAGGAATCACCTGGGATCTTGTTAAATGCTGATTTATTAGGTCTGGGGTGGGAACAAAGAGCCCTGGTAGTGTAATGGTTAAGAGCTTGGCTTCTAACTGAAAGGCTCGTAGTTTGAATCCACCAGCCACTCCATGGGAGAAATTGTTCCACGGGGTGATCTTCTTCAGTAATGGTTGTAGCTTTGGAAACCATCTGGGGTGATTCTTTGTCCTATAGGGTTGCTATAGAGTCACAATGAGTTTGAAGTGACTTGATGACAACGGATTTTTTTTTTTTTTTTT